ATATTTAAACAAAAAAAACTCTTACAATTCGGCTTATATTCAATATTTTAATCTTGAAAAATCAGAATATATTAAAATAAAGGTTTTGGACTAAATATTTATAATATCATCTAAAAGAAGGCTTCGTAACTTTGTTATTATATTGTGTAAGAAACTTTTAGTTTTTAGAAAACTTTGAAGAAAAAAATTCGACCTGTGTATCTAAAAAAAATTTAGGTTGTTTTCATGATTTCGAAATGACAAATATTTAGTTAATAATAAAATGTTAAGGTGACCTGATATAGATTTGATTTACTTAGTTGAGGCACAACCCCAATGATTTATAGGTACTCAGTAAAGTAATACTGTACGCTAGTACAAATTCGGACGGACGAAAATTATACTAAATTTTGATAGTACGCTAATATAGACTTGTAAAATTCAATTTTATAAGTATCCATTTTTAATGGTTAGGGTTAGGGTTAGGGTGAGCGTTAGTATTGTCCTTTTTTCATGGGGTAATTTGTAAAAGTAACATGGGCTTGACGAAGTTTTTCTTTTACAAACCGTACGTACTATCTACGTCCGTCCTTTCGTACCGTACTACTTTACTATACTATATACCCTTGATTTATGCCAAGTACGTACGTACGTATCAGTCTCAACGATAATACGTACCGGTACGTATCGGTATCTGACTCATTACTTTTAACGTTAACTAATTAATAATTTACGACAGGGTGAAACCTGAGTTTTTTTAGGTTACGTTATTGATACTGATCACTATCAAAATAGTAGTTAAATACAGATCTGCATCAAAAACGTAACCTAAAATCTCAAATTATGTAATGTGATGAACTTTTTAGAACGTGTATTCTTTTCAATGCTTCAAATGCAGAGACACGGAGTTTTGCAATATCAAATATATGCATATTATGCTTCTGAGATGAACATTACGAGAAAGATTATAATTCACATACTTTGCATTTTGATAGTCTTTACCGTTATGGGATTCAATTTCGGAAAATTAATTCCATAATATATGCATAAGAACTTGGGGTAACGTACGTACTTATAGCGTAAAAATACGTACATACGTACGTTGAGAAAACGAGACTGGCTATGGTGATTAAATAAAATATAACAAACTACTATCGAAAAGGAGTAGCATGCTTCAATTGAGACGTAGAGAGACTTGTCCAAGTAGGTTTTTCGGTCTTGCTGTGGCTATCGAGATAATAAGTTGAGGACATATTTGCTAGTTCTATCACATATATTTCTAATATTTCCGCTCATTTGATACTTCTGCTCCTACTTTTTTGATAATATATTGGCTAGTTTTAGGATATGCTTAGATGTACAAAAAGTAGGCGCAGATGTATCAAAAATGAATGTTTTGTAACACGGGCAAGGTAGGCAATCTGTTTATTGACAAATGTGGCAGATTAAAACGAAATCAGATTATTGTTAAAGTTAAATAGACAAGCCACCGAAATTTTGAGTGCATTTTTTTGGCATTTTTTTTAGAGTTGGGATCAGCTTTAGGGGTAGAATTTATAATGAACAAGTATAAGTGGGTTTTAGACGTTAAATAAAAACCTCAAATTTCATAGTAATCTGATTTCATTATGACCCGCGACAGTAAATCACATTCTTCCCATCAAAATTTAACTGTCACGTGACAAGGAATGGCGCACAAAAAATCTTTAAATTCGGTTAAGTTAGAGTTAGTGCTTACTATGGAGTTAAACATTAGCAAGACATATAGTAAAATTGCTCAAGGAAATTTTTTAGAGTTCAAAAGGTGGTCTTCCTGATCGTGTAACATTACATCAAAGCGAGACTCGCTATTGAATAATTTACATAGATCTCACGTGATAGTGAAATGGTAGTATAATATATACTAGGTATAATACCGTATAATATGGTATAGCATGTTATAACTACCATTATACTCTCAGCTAGGGTGAGTGGTATGGAAGTCACAGGCATGCCCAAAACTTAAATGGTCTATAGGCATGCCATTTATTATAGTTCCGAAATATTCCGAGTAGAAAATCACAGTTCGAAAGAAAAATTAAAGCAATGTGCCGAAATATTCCGAAAGGTACAAAACCGCACGTATATAACCGATCAATCAAAATTATTTATTTTATCACGTGGTTTAGTGGCATGCCACCCTGGGATGCCTGGTACGTACGAGCTTCGGCAAATGGCATGCCATCTAGCACACAAGATTTTTTAGCCGTGCCACACACCCTACTTTCAACTTAATATTATTCGGAATTTTTCGGAATTATTTGAATGGAAAACTTCGGAATTGCGAATAAAGCAATTTAATTGGCTAACCCAAGGTCGTGTTATATTTGTACATCAATAATTCCTTCATTTAATGGTAATAAAACCATCAGGGAATTCTACTTTGATCTGGGTTAAAGTCACCGAACTATTTTACTTATATGTACTATTAATTTGAGTCATGTGACTCATTACAAAATTTAAATTATATCGTTGTAAAAAATAGCGTTAATTCGCACAACAGGTGTTGATTTATTAAATTCATCAAGTTTGAAGTTCAGGACCAAATGCCATTAAGATTTTGTGCGATCATATGGTATCTTTATAAAGTAAGACATGCGTACTTTTGAAAGATGGCCAAAATCCGGACAACTTCGGATAATATGTTGCAACGAATGATTACAATGAAAATAATGATGCTCTAAGCCACTTATAACGCTAAGCCTCAAAACATAGAATGAGTTCCCTTTAGCGGAAAACTTATTGTCTAGAACCATGTTTCTTGTCAAGATTTCTACAAATTAAACGTACTTCTTAGTGTTAGTACTAAGTTACAATGGAAAAAATTCATATTCTCTAACCAACATTTTAAACGTTATATCTTATTAACATTCATCTTAAGTTCACAATATGGCGTACGTTTCGTTTTTTCCGTTTTGCGTCCTAACTGCTTTGTTCGCGTATCCAACACTATTATTGATTGTTTTCTGTCCGATGTTCGGTAATACTAGTCAAAGATCAATATATACTAGTCAAGATTAATATTTAATTATTTTTAAGAATTCTAATGGTTTTTTTTTTTTCTTTGATTTTTTACAGAAGTACTCAAGATTTTTTCATTTATTGCAACTAATGGTGCACTAAAATTAAACTGGTTTATCGAAATTTTGTAATAATATATTTTTTTTATAATATTTTCTTCAATATGGAGACTATTAATATCACTTATTTACCAATCTTATCAATCGTATTAATTTCGTCAGGTACCTGTGTACATCATCTTTTCCGATCGGTAAATAACAGATTCCAATTTAATTTTATTTATTTTTATGTGATTACTTCTTTTATTTATTGACTTTCGAAATTCAATAGTTACAACATTTGTTTGCTGTTTATTCAGCAAAGAGGGTGCAACTGCTGCATTTAGGCAGGGACAAATGAAAAAATACTTTAAACGAACTTTAATGTATTTATTATTTATCACCAATTGTCTTGTTAAAATCTGTTTCATGGTTTTTAAATTTAATACTAGACATTTTTCGAATTTTTCTAGATACTTATGCCCGATTTTATGGATAGTTGTTCCAGGCAAGTTTTCATCGTATTCAAGCGTTTTCCTACACTTTTCCAAATATCTTTATCTTTACCAATTTTCTATCCTTCAGGCTTATATACATATTTAACATTCTATGAAATGGGAGATGTCCCATTCACATGTCCACAAAACTACACCTATACCGCCTCAGAGGTTCGATTAGCATGTAATATTAGACTAACCAACCTATTATGCATGTTGATATTTCCAATACTTTGTGTACTTTATGCAATTTCAGTTTGGATATTAATCACATGCTCAGAAAGAACTGGACAGAGGTGTGAATCTAGAAGTGTTCAATTTTTAAAATTGTATAAAAATGCTTTATTCTCAGACAACGGGTACAGTAGGATTATTGATGATGATGATGATAGTATAGATTTTGAAGAAAATAGAGTATTGTTTGATGAGGAAGAAGAGTTTATAAAAGCTGAACTTGACACGTTTAACTCAAATTCTAATTCTGATTCGGCATAGTTTTTAATATACGATCTTGAAACTTGTTATTTTGTAATTATTGTTAACTTGATGACATTAATTTAAAACAAAAAAAAAACTTGCATATTTCATTATTCTATGAAAGATAGCTATTTACATATTTAACGTGTACATTATACCAAATTTTTATATGATATCATATATAGTTTTGATTTACTTAGTTGAGGTACAACCCCAATAAATCATGCAAAAAAATATATACCGATACGTAGATCGAGTAAACTATTTCTTTACTTGTCAATGATCCGTTGATTCACACGTTGTATCATTAGATGAGTGTCGCTAAAAGAAACCCCGAAAATTTAAATAAACTTATACTTAAATTTTCGGGTTTTCTTTTAGCGACACTCAGATATATTACCGTTATATAATTGTTAGATTCCGTAATGAACTTCTGTTCCCATGAATAAAGTAATTAATAAACAGACCAACTATAATTGAAGTCACAATTATGTCAATTATAAAAACAAATTATAATTCGAAAATAAATTCAACCATGGCACAAACTATATTTAATCATTTAAGTAATGGTCAAAAAACAGAAACGAAACATATAAATTTTCAGCAAGGTAATAATCAACCTTACCTTTCGGATGAGGTACTCAATGTTTATGACTATTTTAATTCCGAACATTTGAAAGGAGAATTAGACTTGGCGCTATTTCCTAACCTCAGAAAAATCACTTTTCAACAAAACGTTCGATTTAATATTTTAGAAAGTATAGACCTTAGTAAAAATGAAAAATTAAGTAGAATAGTGATTGATGGACAAAATAATGATTATTTTTTTGAACATAATAGCTTTACTTTGCTAATTAAAGAGATACAGCTTAGTAGAATAATTTTAGCATGTGATATAAAAGATTATCGTGGAACTCGATGGGTATGGATAAAGACAACAAATTATTTAAAGGATCAAGCCATTATACCATATTTCTTAGTCGAAGATAAGAAAATAGAACAATTAGAAGCCGAAGTTGCAAGTTTAAAACAATCTCTTGCCCAAAAAGATCAAACCATAGCACAAAATGATAGAACCATAGTCGATTTAAATAAAAAGATTCAACAAACACCTACACTTGATCAATTTCAAGAATTAAATAATATAGCTTTGCCTTGTTCTGATCTCGATTTTGACAAACTTAAACAAGAAGTTAAAAGACTCAAATTGAAAGATTTTAATCCTTATTTCAAAGAACAAAAAGACTCCTTTGAGCAGTTAACAACTACAACCAAGAATAAAGCAGGTGATAGTTTAGGTGCTATTTTGGATCTTCTCTTGCAGACCAACAAACAAATTATTGAATCTAAAAATGAGAGCGATAATTCTTTTACTCAAGGGCAGCTACTAGGACAACTGCTTACTTGCCAGACTCTTTTGCAAACTAAATTTACCTCAGAAGAACTGCAAAGTTTGTTAAATAAACAAAAAGAGCTTTTAATGTTAGAAAAGCAATCTGCTATTTTGAAGCAGTAAAGAAATATACACAAATCATATATGTAAAGGAATATAGGGATTTCAATCACATAACAACCTTAGTGTATTAAGAGAATCATCCAGGACGACCGCAGTGATGTAGTTATGGCGCAGCCACAGTAAATATATTGTACAAATAACGATAACTATTTAAAAGAGTTATTTGAAATTTTTTAATATTTCAAAATTTATGGTCAGTTATGTCTGTATTGGGACATTGTTATTAGAACTTATTTTCTTATCATTTCTTATTGCACCCAAGAATTCTGTGTCAGGTTGTGGCGCAGCAAAATTTTTAAAGTTCATTAATGTTAGGGCTAGCGTTTAGAATAAACCACTCAATTAAATTGCATTTGTCGGGCTCGTTTTAGCATCTCTTTAAAACATGCCTTTTTTATTTTCATTGACTAGAGTGTCTCAATTTCTATACAAAGTTCTCGTTCTTGATGAATTTTTAATAAAAATATCAAAAACGTAACATTGAAATTTCTGTTTGTCGTCGTTGCATTGTGTGTAACACAACAGATCTCTTATAACAGGTTTTGGTTTTTCAGTGTTAAGATAAAAATGAATAAAATTTGTAAGAAAAAAAAACAAGAACGTTAAAACGAACCCACAAATGTAATTTTATTTGTGTGGGTTTGCTGGTTCAGAAGTTATTGTGACTTGAATTGTATTATATATTTTATTATCACCGTCGTTGATCTATAAAAAATCTTTATTATTAGAATTTACTATATTATGTAATTAGACCGATAGTATACGTTATCTACGCAATATTTGTCGTTTATTCATATTTGTAAAGATACGAAAAAAATATGATTGGTAACTACGCGATATTTTGTCGATTATAAATACAAACCAACTTTACTATGGTCAGTCTATAAAATAACTATATATTATTTTACAATACGTAGAAGTATTTATTAAAATTTCATTTATAGAACGATGAAAGTATCTTCGCTAGCAAATGATTGAAAAAATTATTAAGGCTTATCATTTTGAAACATTGTCAAACACTTAGAATAAAAACAGCTAAAACGTGCTAACAATAATCAACCTTTAATAGTATCTTGAGACAATTCTTCCAAACTACTCGATTCGATTTCAGCAGCATCCAAGCCATAAGATTCACCTGAGTTAAGTAAAGATTCCAGTCTTTCATTCTCTTGTTTAAGCTTTTCGAGCTGTATTCTAATTGTATCTTCGATACTAAATTGTTCCTTCATTTGTCGATTATGAAAATCTTGAAATGTTTCATATTCTTTTTTCAGAAAAACGTATTGTGATGTTGCATTGATTTTTTCTATCTTTAAATCATCAACTTTCTTGTTAATTGATTCGAATTCTTTTTGTAACTCATCAATCTATAAAAAAACGACATATGGTTCCGGAAATCTATAATCGCCAATCGTGTGATCTACAAATCGGAAATCTTCAAAATGCTAAAACTTATTTTATACAAAATATTTCGAAAAAACTGAACGATAA